AACATCGACCTTCATATCACATAAAGAAATAAATTATTTCCCAAAAAGATCACGATGGAGACTAAACAACTTGTCCATACTCTTGTCCGCAAGTAGTCGACACCTATCGGGGAAATCATAATGTTAGGAGCCAGGTGTTGAATACCGAGTCAGATAAGGCATGTAAACACCTAAGGTTTGGAAAACAGGGATGTCACTATCAGGAAAGGGAAATCTCACTATCAATGTATAATGCAGCTGTCTATCCAAAAAGACCTCATGTATAGAAAAAGCAGCTATATAATGGACATATATATTTAATCCAATGATGGCGACAGTTTTGAAGATTCTGGCCTATAGATAGTGTTACTTTTGATGCAAAGCAGTTAATCTGTGATACAATTTATGTCCCATGAATATGTTGTATGGTTTGAAATATCTTTATTATAAACATGTAAAAACATAAAAATTTAATTTGTCTTTAATTCTAAATACATTTTATATATATTCTAAAAGTATTCCGGCAATGTACATTTAAATGGTCGTTTTTTACAATTGTAAATTATTGATACAAGTTGATTATATTACATATATGACATACATTACATGTAGATATTTAAAAAGAACCGATCTGTTTGTGAGTGAGAAGGGGATATTTAGACTAGGTAATTCTAGGGATGCGTTTTGTTTTACAGTCAAATATGTGTACATTATCGATGATTTTATGAAGTCTCCATTTTTATAAGAACCGACTTGTTAATTTCTTAAAACGTAACACATATTTTCTACTGCTATTCCTCAGTTTGAAATGCATCAAAGTGAAATTTTGACAATCGTGATCTGTTAGATGTATTGTTTTGCATTGTCTAATCTGTCATGGATTGAGAAAACAAAAATGGCCGCCAGACAGCCAACTGGGACTTTCCTCAGGCTGTCTAGATTACCACGACGAAACAATATACAAAATGGTCACCAGCCTATCTTAGAATTTTTTATGAATATTGCAAAATATATGTCACCGTTATTTCACTTGAAGTACTAAACATATCGTGGTTTGTAAGATTGTCCCAAATTAATGATTGCTCGGTTTTGAGATGCATCGGGTAAACAAGACAGACATAAATAAGTTTCGCATGTTTTCATTGGTATTTCTCGTGAACTTCTTATCTAAAAAAAAAGGCATACATGATGAAATTGACCACAGGACGTCATGAATTTGGTTTAAAAATTTATTTAAAACGATATTTGTTGACAAAAACTAAAGACATCGTGATTAAAGTTAATGGTCGTGATTCTCTTTATTCTTAGTAGTGCAAGCAATTTAAAGGCGGATACAAATATGGCTGCAAAGCAGACATCTTGAATTTTGCACATCAAACTGGATTTACATGAAAGACAATGGTATTGTGCATAATCGAATTATTGCCTATTTTTGACTTCTTCAAGTTCGACAAAATCTTAAAAAACAAACAAACAAACAAAATAACATTACTGGTAACTGAATCATATATGATGATGGAGCTTGGTATCCATTATACCCTCTGTCCGTAATTGTTATGTAGGAAAAGACAGCAATAATCAGGCATCTCGAAGATCAGGTTTCAACTTGATTTGCATGGTCCTCTTGGTACCAGTACACGTGTTCGTCAAGAAAGAGGACAACAAATAGGGTACCTACAAACCAGTAACATTCCAATGAATTGTCAGTGGTGGACGCCAACTTCCCTCTGGAATCTTCTTTTTAGTAATTGAATCACAAATGACGAATCACAACTGTCAGCTTCTTACAGACATGTTTTGAATGTGATACAATTAAATCGACCGGATGATGACTTTTTGTTAGAATGATTTTATTTTAAAGAAATAGTACTTGTAAAACTTGCGCATTCACTTTACAAAAATTCATCTGGTGCTCGTTTTATTCCGGAAATAGTCGGCCAGTTGACAGGATCTACAACAGGCGGAAATATAAAGTGAACTGGGGCTATCAAATTCAGAAGCCAGTAACTCCCAAACACTGCTCTAACCTTCTCTAATAAGGAACGCGAGTCTTCCAACTCTATTCCATTGTTGAATTCGTATGACGTCACTCCTTCCGGGATTTCAAGCACGAGATCAATAAACTGGAAGGCACCAATAACTAAGAACATACCGAGCGCCCACCACACTAGTATGAGCACGCCCGTGTGGTACTCACCCTGGCCAAACAGGTTTCTTAGGAAGGTAACAAACGGCAGAATTTCCAGTGCGATTGTCCGGGGCCAAAGTTCTAGGTAGTAGTAAGCTGAGGCGTGCAAGAATGCATACACCGTAGCATACATACTATAAAAGAGGAATACACAAAAGTGACGGAGGTTTTTGTAACCGACACAATTCCCTGAAAAGAAGCAGTGGTGGTCTCTCGCGAGAACGCATGCCTTACAGATATTACAGTGGTGACATCTAGCGGGTCGAACTTCCCTGCATGACTTGCACGTGCTCCACGTGAAATAATTTTTGGACGCGCTCCGTTTCTGTTCTGGAGCTTTTCTGTGCCTCAGGCTGTTCAGTTGATTTTCTTCCACAAAGGAGAGTGTGTAATCCGTGTACTACGAAAGACATAAATTATATCAACATTGAATGTACAAATTTGTTCGTTATAAAATGATTAAAAATAGGAAGAATGCAGCACATATTTAAAATTCCAATGAAAGTAATAACTTCTATCTTGATTTATTGACGAAAATCCTAGCCTTACCATTACATACATGTGTTCCGGATACTCCCATTTCATTTACAAATCGTAGTATTTTCACAGACACCCGATCCTTTTGTTATTTTTTTCAATAAGCCCACCTTTGATTTTCTAAATCAGTTTCATGTTCTATAACCAATGATATTTGTAATATTCAACTTTCAAATTTGTCCTAACTCATAAATAAACAATAAAACGTCATTGTTTTGTATTGTTCACCCCTGTAGGTCAGTCACTAGAACAAGCGTATTCCTGCTTCAGCTATTGTCCAATGCATGTTTTCATGTGCAACTAATGGGAGGATTTCCTGCAGAATTGAGGGTTTGCTTTTTGTGTCATCTACGTGGGGATGCAAAACGCGAAAAAAATAATCTGCTGCATCATTTGGGACATTCTTGATACTCCAGGGGTTATGCTCATTTTCGCTTTCTGCACCCCTGGATTATGTCAGGCAAAATCGAAGGCTCATTGTGACCACCTTGAGGACAAGACAAGAAAACGAGTTTGATCCTTTTGATGTACACCCAAAGAACCTCTGTGATCTTCAAAGGACAGATATCAGCCTCGCAATTCAAATACTTAGTCGCGTTCCCTTAATTTTGCTATGACATTATTCCAGGAGTGCATAGAGCGAAAGTGAGCGTAACCCCTGGAGTATCGAGGATGCATTTTGGATCTTCAATTTTTACGATTCCGAACAACGTTTTTGTCTCCTGGCGGCTTGTTTGGTAATACAACTTCACTCCAGGCCTTAGTATTGAACATTAGCTCAAGAGGGGAAAGCAATGTGTACCGTCCCCAGGGCGGGGCTTTAATGCTGGTTGTTATTCCCCGCTATACGTTCAGTATACAGGGTAATCGCTACAAGTAGTCAATCAGTAGCAGTACAGTGTTACCGGATGGAATACTGTGCTGGATGCCTTCGACATAATATTTCTTTGAGGTAGCACTCGAAAGTTGGCATCAGATTCGCGCTATCTCGTGGAGGCAAATACACCAACACATCGCCTTAAGCACACACGCATGTATAACACATGGAAGCACGTCCTTCAATTATTTGGTTTGGTTTATTTTGTTTAACGTTATTTTTACAGCTAAGGTCATATACGGACGTGAACTTCGCTGTCGATGGTGCGCTAAACCCAATGTGTTTTCAGTACTTTCAGTACTTTGATCTCGCAGGCTGAGGTGTTCCGTTAATCTCCGTTTATATGATTCATGAGAGAATTTCTGTGATGCGTTATTCAGCAATCGTATGAATACGGTGCCTGTTTGGCATAGCGATCACAGAAAACATCTCCAGTGTAACTAAACCGGGATTTGTATTTGAAAGTGACTTCAAAATATTGATAGATTTTTATGAGCCCGAGTTTCCTCTGGCCCCTTACACCAGACTTAGACATCTTGACATATATATAGACCTAACCCACACCAGACATCTATCTGACAAAATGTCTAAGTCTGGTGTCGGGGCCAGAGGAAACTCGAGCTGGATTTGTATATTGACACAAATCATTTTAATGTCCTTCCTTTCAATTGATTCTTACCTGGTGAGAATGGTCATCGCGCTTCAGGAGATGTATCTGGCCGATCTCGGGGTGATAGGTCGAAGATACATATCTTACACACAGCCAATTCATCAGGATCTGAACTCCGAGGAACCAGGTGAACGCCTGATTCATTCGCACAAATGTAGGTCCGTACCTGTCCCACAATGTTGGTATGATCTCCGCGGTACCGATGTAACACAAACAGAACGTTTCCAGCAGGAACAGCCAGGGACCAAGTCGATTAATCCGACTGTGAGGCAAGATTGTCTTTTGGCAGAATTTTGTAAAACTGTTGTAGCCTTTCTGCAGAGATGCCCATCTCTCTTTCAGAAGCATTTTGATTTTTAGAAGAAACCGTTTAGAAATGATGTCTCCGATTTGGTTATGTTTGAAAAGCAACCTCAATTACCAAATAATGGATGTCTCTCTAATGTTAGCATTTACCGGAATTGGAAAAGTACAACCTTTCAGTTTCAGCTTGCTTGCAATGAGGACATGTTTCTCGTTGACGTTATGATCACAGGGATCGAGTTACCACTGCTATCTATAGTCATTCCGATGTAAACAAATCAAGAGAACTCATGTTGTATGCAGTATCATGATATGTGTACCAAATAGTAGCAGATAGGGGTAATGACGTGGCAAGCAGACATTGGCCACACGTACCGGACAGTTTGAAAGATCCAACCGATAGTCATCCTTATCGGATATTATAGCATTGCTTGCTAATACCGCAATGTCAGAAAAATACGAGAGAGCTTCACCTGTGTATAGTATACCTGCCCTGACTTGTGCAAATACCTGTCCAATTTAAAGACTCGAGACAATACAACGATCATGTATAGTCTTTTTATAGTTGTTATCTATAATATATATCAAATGCGCGGGAATGAGTGATTGTCTATGGTAGACCAAGCGGTACACCAGTGTCTACTCTAAGGACAAGTAACACACTGGGGTCTGTAATAAACGTGTTAGAGCATGGACAATCTGGGATTTGATGGCAGTGGGCCATTTTCAGCAATTTTCAGTCAACATCAAAATTAAGAGGGCCATTCTATGTAAAATTAAAAGAAAATTGGAACATGGAGGGGTCAATTTTAGTCTTAAGGGGTTAATGGCCCCATGGCCCCCTCCAGGATTATTCCTGTTAAGGTATAGAGTACCAGCGCACTGTATTGTATCTCCGACCAGGAAGAGTTCCAGTTTGTTATGCCTTGGAGTTATTTGCCCATTTACTAGACCAATTGAAAGAGTTTTTAATATATATTAAGAAATACATTTATAGTGAATTCGTTTTCCACAGAAACACCTTCCCTATGGGGATTCGGTTGATCTCTGTATCTCTTCATTAGCAAGCAAGGAGTGTATCCTCTGTGTATATGAATAATGATATTTGTTATGTTTTTTTTATTTTTGCAACATTATTTCAAATAATTTCAAAATGTTATGACTCATTTAGAAGGATTAGAAATAAATTTCAATGTCTGTATATTACAGGAAGGTTTTTAGCCTCTTTATTCATCTTAACATCTTATTACGAAGACCACTCGTGGAAAAGTGGTTTTAATTTGTAATTGCTACTGGCCCAATATCAGTACCCTGTGCCTTTTGATTTTACGATTTTTGACCCCTGTGACCTTGAAAGTGGGTCAAGGTCATTCATCCCAGTATGCTGCAGGCCCAATATCAGTACCCTGGGTCATCATTACGGTACCACCCGGTTAGGGTGGTGGTAAGGGTTATATAGGAGACTGCACTCCATGACCCTGTGCTAGAAGCAGTTAAAACAGACGCGAAACTAGAGGTAATCTGATGGCGAAAGTTTAATAACTGACAGACGCGAAAATAGCGATAAAGGTAGTCCTTTAACGTCCGACGGAAGCAAAAAATGGTATCGACTTAGGATTTTTTTTTTATCATTTATTCCATGTAACTATGCGTTTCTTGATATGATCGTTGGATGTGAAGCGGAGCTACAATGCGAAAACTCATTACCGATGATACAATGATATGTTGTAAAGAAAAACAGCATTACAGGCCTAGGCCTACTGACTGTAGCCCGAAAAACAGAAACAAACTCTGTGGTACCATGCTATCTTCGGGTAGGACTAGTTCATGAGGTGGGCTGTAGCCGAAAGATTAATATCCTCCCCATAATATAACCTATATATATCTTCAAAATGCCTCATTATTATCAAACAGTGCGCACGGCCCCAAACTTATCCAGTTCTAACCGGTTTTGTCCAGTTCTTGTGGACGATTAGTTAAAACGCTTTTCATTGGACGATGCAAAAGTAGACAGCGAACCAAATCGACCGACACTCGGTACACACTTTAGAATCGACATATTTCCATGAACAGTGCTAGGAACAAGACATAACATACCGACATGATAAACACATCGTTTTAAAGATACAAAGAAAAATAGGTACAACTCTTGATACTTTCCTCAGGAGAATTGACCGTCCGAAGAATCGTACACCAAGTATGAAATTTACGGGGATCAACAAACGGCTGGACGATTCATCAAAGAAATTTGTGTGTGGAGCTGTTGAAGGTAAACCAAAATGTCGGACAACAGTGTCTGACCTTCGACTCGCCAGACGGCAAAATGTCACTTACGGAGTATATAACCACAAGTTGAAAGAAGTTCACAATAACCATTCATATGTAAAACAAATGTGTCGATACTAACTGAACATTTTAATTGATTGTTCACTATGCAAGCTGTATCGGAATGATATACGCAACCGTTTGTGGTGAATCATGATTCATGTCCTTGTTGGCACTTCGCCATAAATCGAGGTAGCCATATTTTATATTAACTCGCTGTTGGCGACGCCTGTATTTTTAGTTATAGACAATTAATATCCTTTGCGAAAACGTTAAATGACGAAACGGGAGTATAAATGTATATGGACTTGAAAAATGATGCCATTTTTTTGTATTTTTACCAGACTAAATATTTTTAAAATAAGTATATTCTACATTTAAATGGGAAAAGTTGCCATAGAATGAATTTATTTTGTTTTTTTACTCGAAATGTAAAAACTTCTTAAAGACATTGAGCTCTCATGTTCCAGGTATCAGCTTAACTTTGAAAATCCTTGCAAAAAACATTGTGTCATTCTCCTTTCTAAGTAAAAGCATTCAGCTGGTAAATTACATTCAGATAAACTTTGTTAGGACACCAGCAACTGCCCCACTAGCTTGACAGTTGCCCTCCAGACCAGCACAAGAGCCTCTCCCTACACCCCAAGTATTTTTATATAAATTTTGGATCTTATGTTACATGGGCTCCATCAATGGTGATGTTTATGCCCTCGTGGGTCCTAACAATGAGACGTGAAAAAAGGGGGTTATTTACAGTGATTAGTGATTTTTTTGTGCATAGATAAAAGATAAAAGCTGGCGTTAGTTTTAGGGTGTGATGAGGGCTGCATAGGGTAAGTGTACCTAGGTTGTTTCGCACAATATCTTGTTTTCACAATGAGTTGTATTGCCGGAGGTTGTTCGTCATATGATAATATATTGTTGAACTGTTTTTTATCTATTTCTTTTAATAGGGTTTTATGGAAGGCCATGGAGCACAGAGCAGAGGAAGTTGCTTTTTTCATGGTAAATGCTTTATGAAAGAAAATCACTGACTGACGTGTGTCCATCGAGTCAATAACAAAGCAGAGACTGATAACCTATAGAAACTCTTTGCTGCTCTGGTGGTCCAGATTTAAGACTCAGTAACAAAATTCTGTTGGTTCTGAAGAAATATGGGATGTAATATTACAGGGTTTAACTCTGTTTTCACAGAATTAATAAGGCTAGTCTCTAAAGGAATAGAAAAGTATTCTTATCTAAATGTATTTGTTAATAATAATTTATCGCTCATATTACAGTTGCTTGATTTTGACTTAACATTACAGGTTGAAAAAGATGGGCCTGAACACATATATGTATGCTCCTAAGGATGACTGCAAACACAGAGCATTCTGGAGAGAACTGTACTCTGTGGAAGAAGCAGGTTTGTTTGTGATTTGTAAATGACTGGATGCATTTCTATTTATACATTGTTAAAGTCACATCTTAAAGTAAGAAATTGAAAATGACATGGAATTTTTCGAAAGCTTTTCAATGTGCATCATTTAAAAATTGAAGGAAACTTCCTCTAAAAAAAAAGAAATTAGCAGAATCAGTTAACCCTTAGGCTGCTACATTGATTTCTATGTAAAGGGACGCCACTGCTGAATTAATTATTGAAATATAAATTAATTTACTTAATTTTTCAAATGCATTAACATTTTCGACTTAATGTTGCTTCAGTATTTACCTGTACAGGTGGTAATAAAGGTAAGAAAAGGTGAAACTTTTAATTAATCAGATTTCATCATACTGAATAGCTTGTATCTCTCTTTTTTTTCTGCAGAGAACATGACAAATTTGATTGAGGCTGCTACAGAGAACAATGTAGAATTCATTTATGCCATTTCACCTGGACTTGATATTACTTTCTCCAACTCCAAAGATGTACAGTGTCTGAAAAGGAAGTTGGAACAGGTACAGAACAAACATTTGTTTGCAACAATACTTTTAATAATACAACCTGTTTTTGCATCACCAACATTTTGGAGCTTGTATGTGCTTTTTAATTTTGGGAAAATAAAGCTGAAAGTGTTGAGGGGAAGGGCCCTTATAACGGCCCCAAAGAAAGACATGAAGGTAATTGATGTCAACATGTCTCTTGCTGAATCGTTGTGTTTTAGACTTGTGCCTTGTCTTTGCAGGTTGCCACATTTGGTTGCACTGGTTTTGCCCTATTGTTTGATGACATTGACACTGAGCTGAGCGAGGCTGACCGTAGTGTGTTCCAGTCTTTTGCCAGTGCCCAGGTCTCTGTCACCAACGAAGTTTATGAGCATCTTGGTCAGCCTCACTTTTATTTCTGCCCTACTGGTAAGTTGTTTATTTACCGATGCTGCTCAGACAGTTAACAGTGATGAGTATCTATAAACTGTTGCATTAAAATTAATAAGTGTTATTGTTATCAATTTTTGAGGAAAAACTTTTTATGCCAATGAAAATGTTAACTGGATAAAAATGATTGTCTTTTCAGAGTACTGTACCTCTCGTGCTGTACCAGACATGGCTATGTCTGAATACCTTAACACCATCGGTGTCAAACTCATGCCAGGAATTGACATCCTTTGGACAGGTAAAAACAGTTATTTCTAAATATCCCAAATGTTCTGAGTAAATTCATTTCTTAATGGGAGAGTTAGGGCTGTTGATTGTTTAAAACTTTGGGTTTTCACTATTGAAACATAATAGAAATTGACTTTGTAAACTGGATATTTTATCTCTTGTGTTGATGTATATAGTGTTTTGATGGTTTTTAACTATAAAATTTAGCAGCATTTCAAACACAACTGAGCATTTCTAATCAACCTGTCTGACCTAGCAGTTAGTGTCCATTGAAACCTAATCATAAGAAAGCAAGGATAAAAATAAAAAGTTTTTTAGTATTGATGTGCATTTATACAGTCTATTACAGATGCAAACATTCTGACAGGATATGATGAAATATGTTACAATAACTTGAGAAGTGACAATGCACAGATTCAGTTATAACAATCTCAGTAAGAAGATTTTAACGACCATTTTGCTGTCTTTAGGGCACCGATGCTACAGGTGGGAGCTAAGTTACAATCTGTCAGTCTTACCTCTTTGTATGGATCATATCTCGTAACTCCCAGTCCCTTCACCCTGCTATAACCAAATTTTGTACAGCGTGAAATTTGAAAATACCTCTTTGGATAGCAGAGTGATGCATACTTGAGTCTTGTGTCCCTCTGCATACCAAATTGTGGGGGCAAGCTAAGGATTGCTGGTAATACTCTGCCTTGTTCTTAGTAGATATTTTGAAAACCATATGATGCCCATATTTGATGTACATACATCTCCAATGTCCTGATTTTAAGTACATTTTTGTGTTCATACAGGTGCCAAAGTGGTCACCAAGAAAATCACAGTGAGTCACCTAATGGCTATTTCTAATGTGCTTAGAAGACCACCCATTATTTGGGACAACATTCATGCTAATGACTACGACCCTAGGAGGATTTTCCTTGGACCCTATGACGGCCGGTCACCAGAGATCATACCATACTTGCGAGGTGTCTTGACAAATCCAAACACTGAATTTGAGGGAAATTACATTGCTCTCCACACCCTTGGACAGTGGAGTAAATCCAACTGTGATGGACTTAAGAAAGATATAATTTCAGGTAAATCATTATTTTTATCAGTAATGTATTATAGGTAAATAAAGACAACAATCAGGATTAATGTTAACATGCGTTTGCAAACTTCAGTAAGATTGACATTTTATATTTTGGAAGAGGAATTTGTAAAAGCTATGATTTTATTTACTGATCCTGCTGAAATGATTTTATCTGCTGAAATGATTTTATTTACTGATCCTACTGAAATGATTTTATTTACTGATCCTGCTGAAATGAAATGTATGTGATCATGTAATTATGTTTGGCTATTTAAGAAAATACTGTTTAATTTTTTTTCAGATGGTGAGAGGCTGAGTCCAGTTGTTTCTGACATAAAGTTGGAGACGGAGTGCGAGTTTGATACGACGACAGAAGACCTGCCGGCCAGATTGGACACTAGATACCAGCCAAAAGTGGCTCTGATGATGGCTCTCAAAGAGTGGATGCTGGAATTGGACAATAACCGTATGCCTCCAGTTGCTGTTACCCCTGTCCCTATCCCTCCACCAAATAACTGCATACCTCTAGCGGGTCCCCTATCTAACCCTGCTGGGATTCCAGATGTTTACTGTAGTCTACCAGGAGTAGAGGAAACTGAGAACAATCCTTCGTACATGCAACCAACGATGAACCCTGTAAACAGCCTTGTCAGCAGTTGTAGTAATGGCATTCCTGTAACAGACACAGAACAACCCTGTACTGTTGCTGATATTCTCGGGGAACCTATGGATTGTGCTTTAAGTGATGATACCTCATCAGTGAACTCAGACAATCATGAACAAGCTTCGCTTGACAATCTTATGCAAGTTGAAGTTGTTGCTGAAGACTTGCAGAACAAAAAAGGACTGACAGCCTCAAAAATCTGTGATAATAAAACCTATTATGAAGATCTTTCTCTCCTCGTGGATCTCTTTTACCTGCCATTTGAACATGGTACGCAGGGAGTTAAGATGTTACAGAATCTCAGATGGGTAAAGTGCAATGCATTTCAGGTCACGCAGGCCCAGAAAAAACAATCGGAAGTAAGTATCAGTGATATTTCTATTTCATTCCACAGGGGCCTGTGTCTGTTGATTTGGAAAAATATCACCCACAAAAAATCCTGATTTTAGGGAATTAAGTGATTTTTTGCATTGATTTTGGGGAAAAACAGCAAAAAGTATCTTGGGGAAAGGGGCAAGGCCCCGAATTAACCTTTTTTTTTATGTTTGTTTTGTTTTCAAAAGTCTATTTCAACATATTTGGTTTTGGAAAGCAAGATTTCTGATAACACAAAAAATAGTAAAGCAAATTTGGATGGCATATATGCCTTTACAATTTTGCTTGGCTTTCAGAGAAAGTTTCTATGTCACAACATGAAGTAACAGGGTATATTGCTACATGTTTCAGGTTGCAGAATGGATGGAAAATGCAGACACTTTCATAACCGATGTTAAGAGAGTTCAAGACATGGCCAAGCGTCTGTATGAGGTTCCTAATGTTTCACTAGCACACACCATCTTCCCTTACGTTTGGGACATCCTTGGTGTGTTGGAAACCTGTGCTGCCTATGTAGCATGGCTAAGTAAGTATCTCAAAAATATCATGTATAAACAAAGTCGAATGGTGACAGTTTCTTCAAATGCTTATAATATACGTAAATAAAGTGAAAAAATCCAATTTTCTTGGTATTTTCATCATAGGTGAAAATATTGGAGGACAGTTCTTGGACATACTGAAGATTTAAATATATATAACATCTTTCCCTTTTGAAAGAAATCAATACCTGCCCTGCTATCCAATTTTCAATGATAGAATGAAAGCCANAAAACCAAATTTTTAAAAAAAAAAAAAAAAAAAAAAAATGGTGGAGGAGGGAATGTTATTATAAAGGACAAGGATATATCCAACAGTGATGGCAAAAGATCACCAACATTGAATGTGATGTGTGAGGTCATTTAGTGGAGGAATGGTGCTACAATGAAATAGTATTGATGAGCTACATGTAACATTGTTCCTATTTAGCCTGAGAAATGAACGCTGCTGGCTGCATAGCTCACTAATTTCTTCACGTTTTTCTGTTTGCAGAGTTGGGGAGTTGTACCTTGTCAACCAGTGAAACGAAAGGAAACGACAATCTTTCATGTAGGCATCAGTCCCTCCAACCCAGTATTTTGTACCAGTACAAGGCCACCCTAGTTTTACAACAGCATCTTAGGGTTCACTATGCAGCAGTCATGCCTATCTCATTAATGTTTGCTTTTTCAGATGTTATAATCGTGTATTGAATTACACTAGACTAGCACACTGTCGTTTCCTTCTCATCTTCGAATGTTAATGTGTATGTTCATTTTGTTTGATAAAAAAACATTGTACAGTTTCTATACATCTATTTTCGATGAAAGACTGGCAAGCTTTCAGCATCGTTGAATAGGATTTGATTAAATCATTTAATTTTGCCTCGGCCATGTCGTTCATGTCAGAATTGAAAAGGTATTTCTCTGCACTTTTCAACCTGATAATGAATTTTTATTTGCCGTCATGCTTTATTGATTTCTCTTTTAGTTCTGCTCGGTCTCAATTTAAACATTTGTTTTGAGGAAAAGAAGGAAACGATGGTAGTGTTTTCGTTTGTAGATATGTACAAAGAAGCTTTTGTCATTTTTTTATCACCAGCTTACCATTCAGTGTGTTGAATTACTTCAATTTCAAGTTATTAGAAGTGAACCAATAATTTGTTAAAGAAATACTGGAAGTATTTAAGGAAGTGAGACCGTTGAATGACATTTGTTATTAATTAAATGACACAAGTTTCATGTATTGTCTAAACATGAATTCTATTTTGTCTGAAGCTAACCAGGAGATGGGCCGTGTTCCAGATCGACCAAATAAGTATGATTGACAGTTCTGGATATCTTAAATTTCTATACACTCTTAATAACAGGATTACAGAGTCTTGAATAGAGTGTATCGGTTGTATCAAAAAATAATTGGTCTACATTTGATGTGTTAAACAACACTTTTGGTTGATCTGGACCCAGGCTGATGACGCAATGGAAAGAATAGAAAAAGCAAAATAAGAAAACTTTGACAATTTCGAGAGGTTTTCTCCTGGTTAGAAATAGGCTGACTGCTGCATGGCTGGCATTCATTACATTCTTTTCTTTTGACAAATTATATTTGAAAAATTAAAAATGAGAAGTTTTCTCATACTTATGGTTATTAAAATTTGAACATGATAATTTGTTTTGACTAAGAGAATGTAATGTAGTAATTGAAAGAATAGAATTTAAATGAGCATTTATGATTACAATGAGTAGAAAAATTCAACACAGGTAAGAATAATGATGTAGTTTCAGAGAATGTTGTTATTGATGAAAAGGTTGGACAAATTGTGTGGTACATTCTATTACATTTAAAAAAAAAAAATATCACTTTAAAAAATTGTGATTTTTTTGACAAATGTGACCCCTCCCTCCTAAAACCAGTGAAAAGAATTTGAACACTCGATAAAAAGTTTAATGTTAAGTCCTGTGGTAAACACGCCATGTTATTAGTGATTCTCAAATTTGTCCAGTCGCAATGAAAACTTGTTTCTTGTTAAGGAATTTCTTGCATCCCTATTAACAGTCTCTCTCATTTTCTCTTTGCTAATCATCTAGGGTGCTCAAACCTTTACAAGGAGGCATTCTCTTGTGGCGATTCAGAGCCCTGGGTCTTCCGAGGCGGTTTACAAGGAGAATTTGAAGTATGTATCTGGACTGGACCGGGACCTTCCTCAACCAACATTGTGCCTAGAATTTGACAAGTTTGAATGAATGAATTATAACTTTGAGCACACACTTAGTTGGTAACAGTAAATATGATAACATCAGTAACATGCTGTGTCATCTTTTCAGCTTTCACAGTGCTTGCATTTATGTCCCAAGTCTTATTTACAGGATTTTTTGCGCTGCGTTTTTTAAGCAGGTGAAATGTTACCATGTACATTAGAGATATCTATAAAAGTTTGTTTTTGTTGGTCGGGTTTGGGGTAACTGTTTTCGGACAGATTTGTTAAGATCTGAAATCTTGGATGTCAGTTTTCTAGACTGATGTACATGGTACCTTTCTTCTGGTTGATGTGTTTTCTTTCCAGACAGTTCGCATATTCTTGAGCCTGTTTTGAGGCAAAAAGAAGATATATTTGGAATGTTTACCAGCCTTGCCTGAAAAATATTGGAAATCCTATCTAAAACAAATTTGAAGTGTTTGTACACTGATTCACCTTGTTATATAACAAAGATCAACATTTTCACAAAACAATGAAAAACATGAATTCAAAATTCAGCTGATCACAATTAATCAACATTTTGGTTGCAAAATTGTGGAGAACTTGAGCTGTGTTTGATTACCTGTTAATTGTGACAAGAGTATTGTCATTCTGAAACAGCAAGGTCTTGGCTCAGTACTACATACATTGAGGTCACAGTTTCAAGTAACAAGGCCTCTGTTTGTTAAATACTCTAGGAAATTCGGCAAACTTCAGGTGGCTAGTTCTCAACATTTCAAACATACATTCTACCTAATAGAACACACTTGGGACATGGTGCAGACACGGTGATGATTGCAGATGTAAAAAAAATATGCATTATTTCTTTTGCTTTCATAACCAGTATTATTTTTGGAAATTGAAACTTTGCTCTGTAAGATGGCAAGACTTTCCAGAAATGAACATTTTCAGTCGGATATATTTTGGGGAAAAGAATATTATCTTGCAAGGGCTTGAAATTAACACCTATTGGAAATATATCACATGAAAATCATTATTTGATTTTTAGGTTGTGCATAGAAACAGCTTGGGGCAATCTCTAACCTGTTTGAAATCGGTTGAAATTTGTGCAATTTAAAAGTTAATGTCAAGTCTTTTTAAGAAAGAAGAAACAATTTACAAAATACTATGGATGAAATGGGACGTAGTGAAAGTCTTGCCGTCTATTAAACTAAGATTCTATTATACAGCATCTGTTGGCCTGTACTGATTTAATTTTGATCTGGCTGTTTGCAGCGTTTGTTACCTACTAGAAGTGCATGTGACTTGTACTACATGCAACCTCCAGAGGTCATCATCAGGAACCAGTATCGCTATAGACCATACTCGTCTAGTGATGAGGTAAGTTGGTCACAGATTCCATCATCAGGAACCAGTATCGCTATCGACCATACTCATGTAGTGATAAGGTAAGTTGGTCACAGATTCCATTATCAGGAACCAGTATCGCTATCGACCATACTCTTGTAGTGATAAGGTAAGTTGGTCATATATTTTTGATGTTGACACTCTCCATTAATATTTTAGTGTGTTCCCTGTGATGCACATAGATATTTTATGATCATTTTTCATAGCTATCCTAGAAATTATCATGTGATGTACTAAATGGTAATAGTACGTAGCAGCTTTATGTACTTCAAATTCAGAACAATTTGAATTAACACAAACGGAAAAAACTATAATTGATGTTATTGGTAGAGTTAAATTTCATTATCAAATAAAATATGAATGGAGTCTGCCCTGTTGATTGTATAGCTAATAACATAGGTGTTACTGGCATTGAACCAGATTTGATATAAGAAACATCCTCCAATGTTTGAGACCTGTTCCGTTCTGATCACACCACAGGTTTCAATGTATAATAGTCTAATGGCCACAACTTCTTTTAATTTGAGATTGATTTTCTTTCCCGAAATGATACGAGTGAAGACTCTTCTGATCATCAAGTTTAATAGTGAAAAATCACAATTTTGTATAACTTTTGTTCTAGAGTGCAGTTTATCAGATCTGCCTACAGACCTGTGATGATGGGATGGATGGTACAGAAGTATTTCCTGATATGCCAGGACTCATAGGAGACAGGTACTCCTCCGTTTCAGGATTTAATTTTCCTATATTTGCGATTACTAGAGATCACACAAATATTCACAGACTAGAGAAAAAAATGGTTTACCCGTTAGCAGTCAAACAATAAAGATAAAACAACACTGCCATATTTCATTTTACTTATTTTCACAGAACACTCAAAATCGATAAATGCAATATTTATATCGAGTTATGTGAAGCGAAATTTAATCCCTGCTTACTAGTTATGAGGGGGACAACTGCGAAAGTAATGTATGATTTTTATAGATGGGCATATAATGTCTTAATGATTTGTGTATTGGTCCTCAAATGAGTTGTTTTGCAGAAACCAAAATTATGTATGCTTTTATTTTACAGGATATTGGGTGCAATGACATCCCTTAGTCCAGAGAACTGCTTTCTGGTTGAGGACGACGTTGGAGTTTGTGGGTATGCTGTGGCAGCACTAAGTGCTCGGCAACTTCAGGAAAGGGCAAAGCTGGCATGGATTCCTGCTATGAAAGAGAAGTACCCACTAGTCCAGAAAGAGCAGCCGAGCCCTGCTGATGTAAGTGGAATAGAACTTAAATAGAACTTTTAAACATTCCCAGTATAACTTTGACATAACACTTAAGGAGACTTAATTTTAAGACATATGTACTTCTCTCCTCTTAACTCTCACTTTGATGGACATCTAAGATTGGAATCCGGGACTTGATTGATCCAATGTAAACTAACAATGATTCATTTTTCTTATCTTCAGGAAGTGATATCAAGTTTTCACAATGAACAGAGAAATATTCCTGAGACTGTGCTCCAAAAGTACCAATCGGTAGTGAGAGTGGACTTTATTCCAAGTAGAGTTGTCGACTACTCTGTGCCTAAACGTCTATTGGCCTGTGCTCTGAATGCTATCAAATCGGGTGGATCAGAAGGCGTACATGTCGAAATGAATGTTGGGGACAAATGTATGATCGACCATTACAGAAGGATTGGGTTCTTTCCGATAACGTTACAACCTCAAGATCCCGAGGATGTTGTGTATCTGGGACGCATTATCTAAGACAGTGGTCATGTCGGGTTCTGCTTACTGCCGAGACATGTCCAAAACCTAGGGCCAGCCTGCAATGATCTGTGATGTATTTTGACCAAACACTAGCTTATTGAAAGCTGTGTATCTTTTAATGAATATTCAACAGTATTTTATCATGTGTATGTATAAATGCCAATCATTATTGAAAGAATTTTTAAAGAAATATTTATATGTTATTTATATGTATTTAAAAGAGAAAAGGTTGCTTATTACAGGGTAATAGTCAAATAGGAATAATTTATACCTTGTAAGAAGTGAATTTTTTTCATTACCTCCGCATCTGGGAATGAATGTCGTGCTCAAAGTTACAGTAAACACATGTTATGATGGTGAGATTGATCTTGTAATTGAAAACATTCAATAATTCAGTTGAGTTATAAAAACAAAAATCTTTGAAATGTGATCATGTGACTTGGACAACTGTGATTATGAAAACAGTGGATGAATTGAAAGGTATCTGGCATAAATTGAGTTGATAAAGTTTCGTCAATGTGTATCTTACTTTTTTTCCCCTCCATTGAGTTCTTGTATTGCATTTTGTCTCTATGAATGTGTTTGACTTAATTTCTTGAGTCGCTAAAGAAAAGGAAACATTTAACATTGATGTCTGTTGACGTGCAAGATACTTTGTGGTACTATGGATCTGTCAAATATAAAAACATATATGATGTTGCCTTATTTTCTGGTGTAAAGATACATTTTGTTACTCTTTATAAATGACATTTCTGCCAGGGGAATGAACAGTGTTTGAAGATGTGTTATACTTTTGATAGGTGCTGCAGTATGTTATGTGAAGGCCTCTGATATGTATGGGCTACGCTGATATGTATGGGCTATTCTAGATAGGAATGTATTGAGGAAGTGAGTGGGGAGGATCCACTTATAATTAAACAAGAGGTAGGGTCTGAAATATTTCACATTCCTACATGGAAAATAAATAAGGGTAATGCCCATTAAAAGTACCTCCACCCTCCTGCATACATTTATTTCTGGAAAAGCCCCATGACATGTTTAAAGGTGTTCCTTCACCATTTGTTGTTAATTTCAATATCTCCCTACAAGCTGAACACTAGACCCAATGATTGGGTGTAAGGGAGGTAGAGACGGAAGCTATTACAGTGCTACCTCCCCAGTTACTAACACTTACGAGACGTGTGTAGCTCAGCTGGAATCGTTCGATTCCCAATATTGTTTTACAAGACTCTAGTGCTTAACACTATAGGATAGTGGTTGTGATTCTGGCCGACATGTGAACTGTTCGGAGTTGAACAACATTATGCGAGATTGTGAATACATACTCTGGTCTACATACACATTGTGTACATCTTGATCAATATGTCAACAGATTTAAATAAAGAAACAGAAAACTGAAAGAAACGAGTTGTTCGATTTTTCTAGAAAATTCAAATAAAACTTATCCTGGATGTTCATTTCATGCATATTATGTTACTACCGGGTATGTCCGAGATGGAAGTCGCACAATGTATGTGTCGTTTAGTGGTTGTTTTAAGGGTGATTATTTTGGTTGGGGTTCATATTTCTGAAATGCCTTTACCGGTACTTTATCTTAGTGAAGATTCACTGATCTTTGTCATAAATGCATGCATTATCTTGTTCTCGGGAACGAATGTAACTTTGCAGATATGCATGGAACCTTTTGACTGGACAGTCTTTATTTCATAGATCAAAATCGTATTCAAAATGTGTTGCCCATTTCCAGACTTCTTAACGATCAAGAAGCCTAGAGGGCCTGTATCACTCACCTGGATATTTGAGTAATCTTGAGAAAATGTTCCTGATAAGTGATTATGCAAATATTTCTATATATTGAGTCTCCTTGTCTTATTAAACTACTCTATCTCGGTGTGTTACTGGTCAAATATCATCACCCAGGGCCTCCTGGTAATGCAGAAGTTGTTTTTAAGGTTTTTGGCTTCGGGCCATGGGAGCTTATGCCGTTCTTATGTCCGTCAAATTCTTTTGAACGACTTCTGAAGAAGATTTGGAGGACCAAGAGTCATGACACTTGACCAGTAGGTAGATGGGATGAAGTGCTATAAACGTATGACCTTGACCTACTTTCAAGGTCACAGGGGACAAATATGGTAAAAATTTCAAACAACAATATCATAAGAACCATTCGTACTAGAGTCATTATACTTCGATGTGTTATGAAGACCAGCAGTGCCAATCTTTTTCTTAATTACAGTTATGACTTCAAAGGTCAACTTTAAGTGCTAGTCTGGTTCAAAAGTCAACATTGGTTAAAAGCTGGTAACAAACTTCTCTTCTCAAGTTCCATCCGGCCCCGGCTCATGCTAATTGGCCAGTAGGTACCTGGGATGGAGTGCTTAAAAGTTTTTTCATTAAAATGACCTTGACCTACTTTCAAGGTCACATGGGTTGAAACTGTTTAAAACTTCAAACAACAATATCATAGAACCATTTGGACTAGACTCATGACATTAGGTATGTTATGTAGACCAGCAATGTAAACCTTTTTATACGTCCATCAAATTTCAATGGGCGTATAATGGTATAGCGTTTGCGTATGTCCGTCCGGTTAGTTTAGGTGCAAGTTTCTTTAGTGGTCTACAGTTCAGTAAGATCATGTGTTATTGTCCTAATTTTTGGCATGGATGTTCATGTGGGTTCTAACAAGGACAATAAATCCATATTTTTGTTAATTTTGGACGTGTTTGGGACTTAACTTTTCTCGCACAATTTCTCGGTTAAAGTTTTGGTGCAAGTTTCTTAACTCATTCACCCCTGAAGACACGTTTGAGCTCTTCCAATTCAAAGGGGGGACTAGTTCATTACGAAATTTCAGGGATGAATGCGTTAAGTGGTGTACAGTTCAGTCAGATCATGTGTTATTAGGGCCCCGTATTGGAGATACAGGTGCCTTATAGTAATCACTCTGTCTGTCTGTCCGTCCACAAATTTTGTTCCTGGCTGATACTTTGGTATTTAATGACCGATGTACATGAAACTTGGTCAAGATGTTCAGTTCACAAAAAAAACACATTGAGGCAAAAAGTCAAGGTCAAAGGTCAAGATCATTAGGTTCAAATGTCAAGGTCAAATTTTGCATCTTTTCACTGGTGAACATTTTGTTATCAAACAAGGAGTCAATTGACCAAAGGTCAAGGTCACTGGGTCAAAGGTGAAGGTTAAATTTTGTATCTTTTCCCTGATGAACATTTTGTTATGGCATTATGCAGCAATGTCAGTCAGAATTAAACAAGGAGTCAATCGACTAAAGGTCAAGGTCACGGTCAGAGTTTGTATCTTTTCCCTGATGAACATTTTGTTATGACTTTATGAAGCAAAGTTGGTCAGAATTTAACAAAGAGTCAACTGACTTAAGGTCAAGGGTCACTCAGTCAAAGGTCAAGGTAAAATTTAGTATTTTTTTGATGGTGAATATTTCATCATGACACTGTGAAGCAATGTTTGTGGGAATTAAACAACGCGTCATTCTTGATGACTATGGGGGATATATTGCCACAAGACGGGCCCTTACTGTCAGTGTTCTAGTTGCCCAAATTTTGGCATGGATGTTCATGTGGGGTCCAAGATGGACAATATAGATTTTAATTTAACAAACAGAAAGTCATTGGATAGGGTCAGGCGGGCGTATTATCCATCCGTTTGCAGTGCTCTTGTTCTTCATTAGAGTAATGGGGTTTAAGGTCAACTTTAAGTGCTAGTCTGAGGTCAAAGGTCAACACGGGTTAAAAGATTTAACAAGCTTCTCAAGTTCCATAAGGCACAGAGTCATGATATTTGGCCAGTAGGTACCTGGGATGAAGTTCTCCTCATTTAAGTGACATTGACCTACTTTCAAGGTCACAGGGATCAAATTTGTTGAAAACTTCAAACAATATCTTAAGAACCATTTGGTCTAGAGTCATGATACTTGGGTATGTTATGTAGACCAGCTGTGTGAATCGTTTTCTTTGTTACAGTAATGAAGTCAAAGGTCAACATTAAGTGCTAGCTGGAGTCAAAGGTCAACGTGGTTTAAAAGCTTTAAAATTAAAATTTGAAATAACATTATCTTAAGAATTTATTGTTAAGAGATGTTAAAATGTCTTGTGTTCTAGTTACCGAATTTGGTCTGAAGTTAGTATATGTCAGTTTCAGAGATGTTATTTACACTTTACAGTAACCTTGATCTGCCAATCGGACCTGAAAATCCATCAACTATCCTTAAGGAAGTAGCTTATGAAATGAGAGCTTGACCAGCCCAAGGGAACTCAATTTAAGTGCGAAAATCTATTTTCTATTTAATTAAGTGACCATGACCTTTGATCCTTGGACATAAAAAAGCAAGCGAAGAAGCACATTGAACGGCAAGTTTCAGGAGATTTGACGGACAGGAAGACGAGACAGATTAGCGTCAACCACAGCCATTAACGATTGTATCAACTGCAGTTAGTCCTGATCAAATTTCTCGAGTGTAAATTTTGTAAGGAACAATGCAATGATATTTAGATTATCACACTGTGTTTTCAGGGTTTGTTGGGAGAACAATTTTCTCTTCACGAGCATGTTGATTAAATGGAGAGGCAAGCTATGAGAAAATTGTTTCCGCAGCAAATCCAGCAAATAGTTCTCGATCAGTTTTTAGCTCACCTGAAATCTTTAAACGACTTCTTCTAAATAACCAAAAACTTCAGGGTGATGAAATTTTGCCAGTAGCATGCATGAATGAAAGGCTACTAAGTTTGTTCAAATGAATGACCTCTGCCCATTTTCAAGGTCAAAGGGGTCAAATATGTTAAAATCTTTCAACAGCTTCTTCTGAATAACCAGAAGGCCAAGGAGGAGGATGTTTGGCCAATGACATGCTGGGATGAAGCACTACCAAGTTTGTTCAAATAATTGACCTTTGCCCATATTCAAAGTCACAGGGGTCAAATATGTTGAAATATTTAATAAACTTCAGAATAACCAAAAGGTCCAGGGTGATGATATTTGGCCAGAAGGATGTTGGCATGAAGGGCCACAACGTTTGTACAAATGAATGACCTTTGCCCATATTCAAGGTAATAGGGGTCAAATATGTTGAAATCTTTAAACGACGACTTCTGAATAACTGAAGCATACAGGGTGATTGCTTGTTGATGTGAATGACCTTGACACACTTTCATGGTCACATCTGGTCCATAGTGCAAAAATCTTTAAAAGTCATCTTCTAAATAAGATGGTGATATTTGGCAAGTTGCATTCTGGGAGGAAGGGCTATGAAGTTTGTTCAACTTAATGTCATGTTTGACTTTCAAGGTCACAGGGTTCAAATGTGTTTTAATCATTTAACAGGTTCTTTTGAATGACTTTGAAGTCAAGACACTGATTTTTTTGCCTGTAGCTTTATTTTAATCCACTTTTAAGGTTACAGTTGTGAGATTAATACCAGGTGAGCGATGCAGGCCCATTGGGCCTCTTGTTATCATATATAATGTGTACAGCCCCATCATCTTGTGTTCATACAGAAGACAAACTGATTTTTATATAATTTATTCTATATTTTCATTAAATTGAAAAAAACCCAGTCACAAATCTTATTGTTAACACAGCAAAGAACTTGCACAACATGAAATTTCACCTACCTAAGATCCACACTTAGACCTGGTGACACAGAGATAGAACATTCTGTATGTGTAAGAAAGGCTCTGTCTGGTCTAAGTATTTAGCTGTTACTTTAAAGTGTTGCTTGAGCAGGTTATGTAGGGTTTACCTATAAACATTGGTTAATCTAAGTTTCTAAGATTTCCTTACACCAGACCTTGATGGGATCTAGACCCACCACTGGAAGATCATGATACATTGCAGAATGCTGGTGTTCTTTTTTAGCCGTCCATCATCAGATGGTGGGCTATTCAAATCGCCCTGCTTCCCTGGTCCATCCATCCGTCCTTAAACAATTCTTGTAAGCGCTATTTATCAGAGAGTACTGGAGAAATCTTTCTCAAATTTCACATGAAGGTTCCCCATGGTCCCTAGTTATATGCATATCGTTTTTTTGGACTGATGACAAAACCAAGATAGCTGGCAGCTAGTCATCTTTAATTTAAGATTTAAGTTTGTTAGCGNGGGGGGGGGGGGGGGGGGGGGGGATCTTTCTCAAATTTCATATGACGGTTCCCCATGGTATCAAGTTATGCATATGGTTTTTTGGGACTGATCACAAAAACAAGATGGCTATCTTTAATTTCAGATTTAAAGTTTGTTAGCGCTATTTATCAGAAAGTACTGGAGGGGTCTTTCTCAAATTTCACATGAAGGTTCCCCATGGTCCTTAGTTATGCATATTGTTTTTTAGGACTGATCACAAAACCAAAATGGTCCGTGGTTATGCATAACTATGTATACCGTGTAGGCACGGTAGTCAAGCGGTAGGACGCAGAATCGTGACTGAAGGGTTGTGGGTTCGAGCCATGGCACGGCACTGTGTTGTATCTTTGAGCAGGATATTTAACTCCGCTTGTTCCAGTCTACTCAGCTGTAAATGAGTAAGTGTTTGGGCAGTGCTAGAATTGTAGAATGCTAGCTGTGAGTGCCGAAATGGCAGCACCAGCTGTATGTTCCCCAGGTAGTTGTTAAAGATATTGGCTGGTTCACTTCAGCAAAGGCCCTATTACCACGGATAATAATTTGTGACCGCTTAGAGACGACCTACGAACAAGGTTGTGATAAAGAAGTAAATAAGAACTTCAAATTATTATTATTTTTATTATTATAACAAATTTTGGTACTGATCGAAAAATCAAGACGGCCAATAGGCGCCATCTAGAATTTTTAGAGTTAAAGTTTGATAATGCTATTTCTCGAAAACTACTTGAGGGATCTTTCTCAAACTTGATATGTACCTTCTACTTGATCCTAAGTTGTGCATGTTCTATTTTGAGAGTGATCATAAAAACAAGAAGGCTGCAGGAAGAACTTATTGCACTGATTCGTGCTATTTCTTTAACACTAAGTATTGTACTAGTAAATATGTGAAAAACAAACTCACTTCGAAGGTTGTCTTTTAGACACAGTAGTATGAGCTACCCCAAGGTGCATTTACTGTTTCCATGTCACTATCAAAGAGATAAAAAAGAGAAAAGAAGAGAAAAGACCGAACTGACATAAAACTAATGAAGATGGTGCAATGGTGGGCGCCTAGATCCCTCTGATTCGGTTCGCTCCTTTAACAAACATGTGTAAAACCATGCAGTAACATGGTCTTTGAAGGGCTTGGTCTTTGCTATAGTTTTCGATCCATCTTAAAGTGGAGTATGCACAACTATGAACTTAAAGAGAAGGTTTGTATACACTTTATGCTTTAATATATCCATCTAGTACAGTCTGAAGAATAGCAGTAATGACAATAGATCCCAGAGGGATCTTGGCGCCCACCATTGTACCATCTTCATTAGCTCTATGTCAGAGGGATCTTGGCGCCCAACATTGTACCATCTTCATTAGCTCTATGTTAGAGGGATCTTGGCGCTCACCATTGTACCATCTTCATTAGTTCTATGTCAGAGAGATATTGGCGCCGACCATTGTACCATCTTCATTAGCTCTATGTAAGAGAGATCTTGGCGCCCACCATTGTACCATCTTCATTAGCTCTATGTCAGAGAGATCTTGGCGCCCACAATTGTACCATCTCCATTAGTTCTATGTCAGAGAGGTCTTGGCGCCCACCATTGTACCATCTTCATTAGTTCTATGTCAGAGAGATATTGGCGCCCAACATTGTACCATCTCCGGCCATTCTGTCAGAGAGATATTGGCGCCCACAATTGTACCATCTCCATTAGTTCTATGTCAGAGGGATCTTGGCGCCCACCATTGTTCCATCTTCATTAGTTCTATGTCAGAGAGATATAGGCGCCCAACATTGTACCATCTCCGGCCATTATGTCAGAGAGATATTGGCGCCCACAATTGTACCATCTTCATTAGTTCTATGTCAGAGAGGTCTTGGCACCCACCATTGTACCATCTCCATTAGTTCTATGTCAGAGAGATCTTGGCGCTCACCATTGTACCATTCCCATTAGTTCTATGTCAGACAGATCTTGGCGCCTACCATTGTACCATCTTCATTAGTTCTTTGTCAGAGAGATCTTGGCGCCCACCATTGTACCATCTTCATTAGCTCTATGTCAGTTGATCTTTTCTCTTCTTTCCTCTAATCTGTTTGATCGAGTCATGTTAACAGAAAATGCACCTTGAGGTTACTTTTGATCTAAACTTAAAACTGCTGTGTATAAAAGACAACCTTCAAAGAGAGTTTGTCATTTCACATATTTACTAGTACAGTACTTCATGTGAAAGAAATAGAACCGATCAGTGAATATGAGAAAAATCTGTTTAGTTCTTCCAGTCTCAAAATATTACATGCACAACGAGGGATCAAGTGGAACCTACATATCAATTTTGAGAAAGATCCCTCAAGTTATTCCTGAGAAATAGCACTAACAAACCTACGATGTCGAAAATCGAAGATTGCCGCCAGTCCGCCATTTTGTTTAAATAATAATAATTTGAGGTTCTTATATACCGCTTTATCACAACCTAGTTTACTGGCAATATATCAAAATAAATTTACGATGGTCAGATAGCCATTTTGCGTTTAGGAAATGACCCTTTTTTAGCATGCACAACTAGGGACTAAGGGGACAATGCAAGACAAGACATTCATTTTCAAAACCATCAGTCAGTTGGGATAGTGGTTTCCAATTTTACTAGTCCCTGTTCAAAATCCAAAACCCAAATATTATTCAACATGATAAGTAATATCAAATTCTGACTAGTCAATTGGGCTAGTGATTTTTTGAATCACTAGTACAGCTGGAGATTTCACTGGTAGTCTCAGACAAGCATGCTACCTTTATTTCCTAGCCCTGGGATAATATTTCCTCTGCTGTCTTGTAAATGAGACAAGATTCAGAGTCTCCTTCCCTGTGGTATGATGTATCAAACAATATTGAGAGATTCCATTCCTTGTAGTATTATATCAGGCAAGATCTATAGACTCCCTTCCCTGTGTTCTGAGATATCACACAAGATAAAGAGACTCTGTTCCGTTTTCTGAGATATCACACAAGATCTATAGACTCTGTTCCCTGTATTCTGAGATATCACACAAGATCTATAGACTCCCTTCCCTGTGTTCTGAGATATCAAACAAGATCTAGAGACTCCCTTCCCTGTGTTCTGAGATATCACACAAGATCTATAGACTCCCTTCCCTGTATTCTGAGATATCACCAAAGATGAAGAGACTCCCTTCCCCGTGTTCTGAGATATCACACAAGATATATAGACTCCCTTCCCTGTATTCTGAGATATCGCACAAGATCTATAGACTCTGTTCCCTGTATTCTGAGATATTACACAAGATGAAGAGACTCTGTTCCGTTTTCTGAGATATCACACAAGATAAAGAGACTCTGTTCCCTGTATTCTGAGATATCACACAAGATCTAGAGACTCCCTTCCCTGTATTCTGAGATATCACACAAGATAAAGAGACTCCCTTCCCTGTATTCTGAGATATCACACAAGATCTAGAGACTTCTTTCCTATTGTTCTATATGATTGATAAAGCAAAGTAATTACCTGCTGGTAAGTTCAAAAAACCCCATATTAAAGTTATTATCTTACAGTTCTAATGAGAGCATCCTGTATATCAACACAAACACAGATTGGAGTTATTAACTTTCCTCTCAAATACATAGGAATACTTTCAAAATGATGAAATGATATCATTATTTTTTAATTTGAAATAAAGTGCCAAAATCCTGACAATACAATTAGGATTTTATTGCAAATAATGTTCAATAACTTCATTCTCAATATGACTTTTAATACACAACACCATTTTGTTTCTTGAGATAACCAGTGTGACGATGGATCAAGAAAATTGAAGAATTGCTGATATTTTAACTGGGTTCTTCATATACCAATGTCCAATCGCAGTAAGAATTATCGCAAAATAAAATAGCACGGGAAAAGTAGGATTTGTATCTTGTGCCGTATTTATTTTCTTTTATCACCTTCACTCACTTGATGTCATGAAGTTTACTAAAGAATGATTAAATAATGAGATATGAAGTCAGTATCAACCCTGTGAGGAATCCAAACATCGGAGTCGAGTCACCGTTATGTATATAAATTTCCACAAAATAAAGCGATTTGCAGTAAAGTTATTTACAGCATGACTATAAAATCAACGGACAGTTCTACGTTGTTAATGAATTAAGGATGCTGTTGGAGTTGGTCTGGTGCTCCAGTCCCACGTCGCCATTGGTTGTTATGTGGGACAGTGATGTCGCAATCTGTGATGAATTAACCAGCTGCTGGCCGAGCTGCTGGCCGAGCTGCTGACTCAGCGAAATATTGGTCATCACATTGCCAAGGTTTGTACTGAGAGTCTGTGGAAGCAGAGATGTGGTGAGCTGAGCCAGCCCACTAGTCACGGGCTGTGGAGCTATTGCGATCGGTGTTCGGCTGCGGACTGGGGCACTAATGTTGTCGTTTGTAAGCTGACCACCATCGTTTCCTGGCATGTCCAATTCACCTTTACCCCCTTTAACGAACACACCACCTAATCCACGCTGTCGGTTTAATGCATGCCGGTGACGAGATTCATACAAGTATTTCTGCAAAATTACAAAGAAATACAATATTTGAATATCTACAAGCAATTAAGTATTTCTGCAAATTGTCAAGATGTTTTTCTTCATTGTTTGAACATAAAATCATCACTAGTTTTTTTCATTGCAAAATATCACTGACTATTAAAAAATATTTAAGGTAAAAAAGCCATTCAATTTTAGTTTAATTAACATAGAAGTTATTACAAAAATATATTAAAGACTGATTAACTTGAACTAGAAAGTGTTTATCAAACAAACAAACCGTCGCTACCACTTTTATGGAAATGAAGCTAATCCCAAAGTGAGATCAATTTAAGGTCAGCGTATTGGAAAACATGGGTCAAAGTGACCTACATTTTATGATGAATTACCTCAGATAAATTTGATGACTGTTAAACATTTAGAGTAACTGATATTAGTGCAATATCTGACCAAGTTGTCCGACAGACTGATAACATTTGATGTCCCCCACTATACCGACGGTACGTAGACAACTCATTGATCTGACAGATGTCCACGCCTACAGGTGTACATGACTTTATCACTAAACAATGCCTCACCACAACTATAAGGCGTTGTATATTTATCATCTGTGTGACCTATCAAGAATTTTACCTGTCTTTCCTTTGGAATCTTGCCCAGAGCTTCCAGTTTTGCCCTTGCCTGACGTCGCTTTAGGATCCTGTGATACTGTTTGGCATTGACGTAGAGCGGTTCCTCACCAGAGTCATTGCCAGTCTAAACACCAAAACACAAGTAAATTATGGCTACTCGTCTGTAGTCTGATGGTAGCTACAATGCTATCTAAGAAACATAACTGCTTGCTAATACAACATCCACAGCATCACCTTCTCAATAACCTACTCTAAAAGGGTTGATCTAATTAGTGACATTTGAAAATACATTTCCTACATCCAAGAAGACCTCACTGCAAGTTATATTGTATGTGCAGGGACATACAGTTCCCCTAGCCTGATACCCAGGGCTAGTGGATTCTTTGTCAGGGCTCGTGATAAAACAACTTTCAACATTTAATATGAGATAAAGACTGGGCTTACAAGATAAAGACTGGGCTTACAAGATAAAGACTGGGCTTACAGAGTTTCCCAAATTCTGCCCATCAGCTAGTACACTAGATATAAAATTGTCCACCCCTGTCTTGGATTACCTGACCCTTTTTAGTCTATTGTCAGGGATGTATATAATTTCATTTTCAGAGTACTAGCCTGTAGGCATATTTTGAAGAATTTGACTAACACTCCCTTATTTTCATAGTGAATATTGGAAATTTCCATTAGAATTGATATAAAATCTACTAACCCCTTGTAGCGGTGCACTAGTGGAATTGTACACCCATGTAGTCATGAACACTTACCACAGGATAGAGTCGTGAACTCTTACCACAGGATAGTCGTGGACACTTACCACAGGATTGAGTCATGAACACTAACCACAGGATAGATTCGTGAACACTTACCACAGTATAGAGTCATGAACACTTACCACAGGATAGAGTTGTGAACACTAACCACAGGATAGAGTCGTGAACACTTAACACAGGATAGTTGTGAACACTTACCAAAGGATTGAGTAGTGAATACTTACCACAGGATTGAGTTGTGAACACTTACCACAGGATAGTTGTGAACACTTACCACAGGATAGAGTTGTGAACACTTACCACAGGATAGAGTCGTGAACACTTACCACAGCATAGAGTCATGAACACTTACCACAGGATAGAGTCATGAACACTTACCACAGGATAGGTGTAGACACTTACCACAGGATTGAGTCATGAACACTTACCACAGCATAGAGTCGTGAACACTTACAACAGGATAGAGTTGTGAACACTTACCAAAGGATTGAGTTATGAATACTTACCACAGGATAGGTGTCAACACTTACCACAGGATTGAGTTGTGAAAACTTACCACAGGATTGAGTTGTGAAAACTTACCACAGGATTGAGTTGTGAACACTTACCACAGGAAAGAGTGGTGAACACTTACCACAGGATTAAGTCATGAACACTTACCACAGCATAGAGTCGTGAACACTTACCACAGGATAGTTGTGAACACTTACCACAGGATAGAGTTGTGAACACTTACCACAGGATTGAGTCATGAACACTTACCACAGCATAGAGTCGTGAACACTTACCACAGGATAGTTGTGAACACTTACCACAGGATAGAGTTGTGAACACTTATCACAGGATAGAGTGGTGAACACTAACCACAGGATAACCGTGGACACTTACCACAGGATAGAGTCATGAACACTAACCACAGGATAGAGTCATGAACACTAACCACAGGATAGAGTCGTGAACACTTACCACAGGATTGAGTCGTGAACACTAACCACAGGATAGAGTTGTGAACACTTACCACAGGATTGAGTCGTGAACACTAACCACAGGATAGAGTCATGAACACTAACCACAGGATCGAGTTGTGAACACTTACCACAGGATTGAGTCGTGAACACTAACCACAGGATAGAGTCGTGAACACTTACCACAGGATAGGTGTAGACACTTACCACAGGATAGTCGTGAACACTAACCACAGGATAGAGTTGTGAACACTTACCACAGGATTGAGTTGTGAACACTTACCACAGGATTGAGTCATGAACACTTACCACAGGATAGAGTCATGAACACTAACCACAGGATAACCGTGGACACTTACCACAGGATAGAATTGTGAACACTTACCACAGGATTGAGTTGTGAACACTTACCACAGGATAGAGTTGTGAACACTAACCACAGGATTGAGTTGTGAACACTTACCACAGGATTGAGTCATGAACACTTACCACAGGATAGAGTCATGAACACTAACCACAGGATAACCGTGGACACTTACCACAGGATAGAGTCGTGAACACTAACCACAGGATAATTGTGAACACTTACCACAGGATTGAGTTGTGAACACTAAACACAGGATAGAGTTGTGAACTAACCACAGGATAGAGTTGTGAACACTAACCACAGGATAGAGTCGTGAACACTTACCACAGGATAGAGTCGTGAACACTTACCACAGGATAGAGTTGTGAACACTTACCACAGGATAGAGTCATGAACACTAACCACAGGATTGAGTCATGAACACTTACCACAGGATAGAGTCGTGAACACTAACCACAGGATAGAGTCGTGAACACTAACCACAGGATAACCGTGGACACTTACCACAGGATAGAGTCATGAACACTAACCACAGGATAACCGTGGACACTTACCACAGGAGAGAGTCATGAACACTTACCACAGGATAGAGTCGTGAACACTAACCACAGTATAGAGTCGTGAACACTTACCACAGGATAGAGTCATGAACACTTACCACAGGATAGAGTCATGATCACTAACCACAGGATAGAGTCATGAACACTAACCACAGGATAGAGTCGTGAACACTAACCACAGGATAGAGTCGTGAACACTTACCACAGCATAGAGTCGTGAACACTTACCACAGGATATAGTTGTGAACACTTACCACAGGATTGAGTCGTGAACACTAACCACAGGATAGAGTCGTGAACACTAGCCACAGGATAACTGTGGACACTTACCACAGGATAGAGTCATGAACACTAACCACAGGATAGAGTCATGAACACTAACCACAGGATTGAGTCATGAACACTTACCACAGGATTGAGTCGTGAACACTAACCACAGGATAGAGTCGTGAACACTTACCACAGGGAGCTGCTGTCCTCCTGTCTGCTGTGTTGGTAAGTTTATCACCTGAATACCTGCAACACACAAAATACAATAATCTGAACAAACAAGAGAAGAGGTCCAAGAGCCATCACCAGAGTTGTAAAAAAATGACTTGACAAAATAATAGCACCCACACCTATTAGCACCCTGGAACAGAGGATGGGCGAGGCTTATCAAAACCCGCAAAAAAAAGGTTGCTTACTTCACTGATCTGTCATTATAATGTTCAGTCGTTTGACTGAAGACTGTTTGCCCTTTAGTGTTTACATATCTAAACGATATAAACCAGTTGTCTACCATCGTTTGACCGAGGACTGTTTGCCCTTTAGTGTTTACATATCTAAACGATATAAACCAGTTGTCTACCATCGTTTGACCGAGGACTGTTTGCCCTTTAGTGTTTACATATCTAAACGATATAAACCAGTTGTCTACCATCGTTTGACCGAGGACTGTTTGCCCTTTAGTGTTTACATATCTAAACGATATAAACCAGTTGTCTACCATCGTTTGACCGAGGACTGTTTGCCCTTTAGTGTTTACATATCTAAACGATATAAACCAGTTGTCTACCATCGTTTGACCGAGGACTGTTTGCCCTTTAGTGTTTACATATCTAAACGATATAAACCAGTTGTCTACCATCGTTTGACCGAGGACTGTTTGCCCTTTAGTGTTTACATATCTAAACGATATAAACCAGTTGTCTACCATCGTTTGACCGAGGACTGTTTGCCCTTTAGTGTTTACATATCTAAACGATATAAACCAGTTGTCTACCATCGTTTGACCGAGGACTGTTTGCCCTTTAGTGTTTACATATCTAAACGATATAAACCAGTTGTCTACCATCGTTTGACCGAGGACTGTTTGCCCTTTAGTGTTTACATATCTAAACGATATAAACCAGTTGTCTACCATCGTTTGACCGAGGACTGTTTGCCCTTTAGTGTTTACATATCTAAACGATATAAACCAGTTGTCTACCATCGTTTGACCGAGGACTGTTTGCCCTTTAGTGTTTACATATCTAAACGATATAAACCAGTTGTCTACCATCGTTTGACCGAGGACTGTTTGCCCTTTAGTGTTTACATATCTAAACGATATAAACCAGTTGTCTACCATCGTTTGACCGAGGACTGTTTGCCCTTTAGTGTTTACATATCTAAACGATATAAACCAGTTGTCTACCATCGTTTGACCGAGGACTGTTTGCCCTTTAGTGTTTACATATCTAAACGATATAAACCAGTTGTCTACCATCGTTTGACCGAGGACTGTTTGCCCTTTAGTGTTTACATATCTAAACGATATAAACCAGTTGTCTACCATCGTTTGACCGAGGACTGTTTGCCCTTTAGTGTTTACATATCTAAACGATATAAACCAGTTGTCTACCATCGTTTGACCGAGGACTGTTTGCCCTTTAGTGTTTACATATCTAAACGATATAAACCAGTTGTCTACCATCGTTTGACCGAGGACTGTTTGCCCTTTAGTGTTTACATATCTAAACGATATAAACCAGTTGTCTACCATCGTTTGACCGAGGACTGTTTGCCCTTTAGTGTTTACATATCTAAACGATATAAACCAGTTGTCTACCATCGTTTGACCGAGGACTGTTTGCCCTTTAGTGTTTACATATCTAAACGATATAAACCAGTTGTCTACCATCGTTTGACCGAGGACTGTTTGCCCTTTAGTGTTTACATATCTAAACGATATAAACCAGTTGTCTACCATCGTTTGACCGAGGACTGTTTGCCCTTTAGTGTTTACATATCTAAACGATATAAACCAGTTGTCTACCATCGTTTGACCGAGGACTGTTTGCCCTTTAGTGTTTACATATCTAAACGATATAAACCAGTTGTCTACCATCGTTTGACCGAGGACTGTTTGCCCTTTAGTGTTTACATATCTAAACGATATAAACCAGTTGTCTACCATCGTTTGACCGAGGACTGTTTGCCCTTTAGTGTTTACATATCTAAACGATATAAACCAGTTGTCTACCATCGTTTGACCGAGGACTGTTTGCCCTTTAGTGTTTACATATCTAAACGATATAAACCAGTTGTCTACCATCGTTTGACCGAGGACTGTTTGCCCTTTAGTGTTTACATATCTAAACGATATAAACCAGTTGTCTACCATCGTTTGACCGAGGACTGTTTGCCCTTTAGTGTTTACATATCTAAACGATATAAACCAGTTGTCTACCATCGTTTGACCGAGGACTGTTTGCCCTTTAGTGTTTACATATCTAAACGATATAAACCAGTTGTCTACCATCGTTTGACCGAGGACTGTTTGCCCTTTAGTGTTTACATATCTAAACGATATAAACCAGTTGTCTACCATCGTTTGACCGAGGACTGTTTGCCCTTTAGTGTTTACATATCTAAACGATATAAACCAGTTGTCTACCATCGTTTGACCGAGGACTGTTTGCCCTTTAGTGTTTACATATCTAAACGATATAAACCAGTTGTCTACCATCGTTTGACCGAGGACTGTTTGCCCTTTAGTGTTTACATATCTAAACGATATAAACCAGTTGTCTACCATCGTTTGACCGAGGACTGTTTGCCCTTTAGTGTTTACATATCTAAACGATATAAACCAGTTGTCTACCATCGTTTGACCGAGGACTGTTTGCCCTTTAGAGTTTACATATCTAAACGATATAAACCAGTTGTCTACCATCGTTTGACTGAAGACTGTTTGCCCTTTAGTGTTTACATAACTAAACGATATAAACCAGTTGTCTACCATCGTTTGACCGAGGACTGTTTGCCCTTTAGTGTTTACATAACTAAACTAAACTCAATCATCAAATAGATTCGTCTGTTAATGATCGCTCACTCAATCATCCAATAGATTTGTCTGTTAATGATCGCTCACTCAATCATCAAATAGATTCATCTGTTTATGATCGCTCACTCAATCATCCAATAGATTCGTCTGTTAATGATCGCTCAATCAATCATCCAATAGATTTGTCTGTTTATGATTGCTCACTCAATCATCCAATAGATTTGTCTGTTAATGATCGCTCACTCAATCATCCAATAGATTCGTCTGTTAATGATCGCTCAATCAATCATCCAATAGATTTGTCTGTTTATGATTGCTCACTCAATAATCCAATAGATTCGTCTGTCAATGATCGCTCACTCAATCATCCAATAGATTTGTCTGTTTATGATCGCTCACTCAATCATCCAATAGATTCGTCTGTTTATGATCACTCACTCAATCATCCAATAGATTCGTCTGTTTATTATCGCTCACTCAATCATCCAATAGATTCGTCTGTTTATTTTGCTCACTCAATCATCCAATAGATTCGTCTGTTCAAAATCTGACATGACAATATCTGCTCAATAAAAGAATCCAAGAATTTCTTGCCATTTCTGATTGTTTTTCTGTCACTAACTTAATACAATCGTCCTCTAAATGGACTGCAAAAAACTTAAATCAGGGATTGAGTTTGCACCATCTACCATTGTTTTATCAGTGATCAGGGTTTCAGTCACAAATGTCTTGGAAAAACTCCCAAAACATTGTCATATTTCATTGAAACACGACCAGTTAGCATCAATTTCTTACAGGAAGATCTGCTGCTGCCAGATCTTGCAAAATCTGGCAAAAACACAACTCACTTCAATAGTGACAACTGTAAACAAGACTCCGAGGCTGGTGTGAACACATGGACAAGGTCGCTTTGGGTCGAGTTGAGCATGAAAGGGATTTATTAAGCGCACCCCTGTTGTGATTTTGTAAGCAAACAGTGTTAGTTTGAATACGGTAGTAATTTTTATCATCTATACAAAGAAAGATACATGTGGGCAACAAAAGACTATTCAAGTAAATGATATCAGTCATATGAATTACTGTTAATCATGAAAATTTTACTTTTTTGCAGTTTTAACTTCTGGAAGTTTTTCAACCTCTTTAATGACAGCAAATGGTGAAATTAACAAGAGACCTTTGTATTGTCATAGGGAAAATGGTGCTCAGTTTAAAACAAGAGGTCCAAAGGGCCTGTATCGCTCACCTGGATAATAAACCAAGCATGGAAAATTATTCTTATTACATATAACAACTATTTCCAAATATTGGCTCTGTCTCTCAGCAACACCCGTCCCTCATTAGGTCCCTTCTTTCTGCTCCCATGAACTGGGGAGGATTTTAATCATTAATCTCAATTAATTAGAGGGGCCACCCCCTAAAAGCAACCCTTTATCTATACAAAATTGAGTCCCCTTTCCCGAAGGATGCTCTAGCTACACAAAATTTGGTAAAAGTCCCTTCAGATAAACTAAAGGAGAAGGATTTTAAACATTTATTACTATGTTCTCCCTACTGGACCCTTCCTCTTTGCTCCCAGGGGGACCACAAATCAAGTCACTCTTCCCAAATGATTTCTTTGGACCAAATTTGGTTAAAATAACTCCAATCATACTGAACAAAAAGGATTTTGAAGATTTGCCTAAATTCCTATATTGGGCCCCGCCCCTCTGCACCCAGAGGGGCCACAACCTCTGTTTATATGAAATTAAATCCCCTTTGCCCAAGGATGCTTCAGGCCAAATTAAGTCAAAATCCATACAGCTGTCCTGGACAAGTAGCGTTTTAAAGGAAAAGTTAACGGACGGACGGACACTGAGGTATGGCATAATGTAGGCTCACCATGGTCCTTCGGACCAGGTGAGCTAAAACAATAGTTGTCAGAATGATACCACACTGAATCATACATCATACGTAATAACAGGATCTTACAGATTTAAGATTTTTTGTTAGACCAACCATCAATTATTATTATATCAGCTAATTAGACCAACCATCAATTATTATTATATCAGCTAATTTCCCACCAGTAGTAAAATGCTGTGTTAGATGTTTTGCACATCTGTTAGAATGTGCAGACAAAGTTAAAACACTGAGCAGGCACATAAAAAGAAGCTTTGTAAACTATAGCGATATTTTATTTCTGTATTGTGACATGTACCGGTTTCCTGATATATTGTGACATCCAGACAGGTGATTCGTTAGTTTCATACGATCATTGCTCAAACGTAGGTTGGCTTTTACTTCTCAATGTTGAAGTCCTTATTAGTCCCTTCAGTCAAATTGACAAAGTCAATGTGTATAATTAATGGATTTTATTATATTCTCCTTGGAAATATGTATTTTAAATGTATATGTTTTGTGTTGAAATTATAGGCTAAATGACCTCATGTAAGCTTATAAGAATGAAAAGTGAAAACACAATGATCTAAAATCAATTTAAGTTGGATATCGGGGAACATCCAGACAGGTGATTCGTTAGTTTCATACGATCATTGCTCAAACGTAGGTTGGCTTTTACTTCTCAATGTTGAAGTCCTTATTAGTCCCTTCAGTCAAATTGACAAAGTCAATGTGTATAATTAATGGATTTTATTATATTCTCCTTGGAAATATGTATTTTAAATGTATATGTTTTGTGTTGAAATTATAGGCTAAATGACCTCATGTAAGCTTATAAGAATGAAAAGTGAAAACACAATGATCTAAAATCAATTTAAGTTGGATATCGGGGAACATCCAGACAGGTGATTCGTTAGTTTCATACGATCATTGCTCAAACGTAGGTTGGCTTTTACTTCTCAATGTTGAAGTCCTTATTAGTCCCTTCAGTCAAATTGACAAAGTCAATGTGTATAATTAATGGATTTTATTATATTCTCCTTGGAAATATGTATTTTAAATGTATATGTTTTGTGTTGAAATTATAGGCTAAATGACCTCATGTAAGCTTATAAGAATGAAAAGTGAAAACACAATGATCTAAAATCAATTTAAGTTGGATATCGGGGAACAACCAGACCATGGTTACTCCGGTAGTCACCAGTGTCTACCCTTCACTCATATTTAACATGACATTTGACATATATTTTTGTTAATTATATTAAATCAAGCTTGTATGTATAACTAACTTCATTATAATGTTTCATTTGTTATCGATTGTAAACAAGACAAATCTGTGATTATCTTGTGTTGTTTTCCCTGTTAGTTAATTACAGAACACAAAAAACATTTCAAAGTACTTCCTTTATAAATCATCAGATTTCTCTCATTCAAACAGGATCATGCCTACCATAGGAAGTTGTGGAATATTGGAGTACACAAAGGCAAAATATATAACAGAATTTTGAACGGTGCTGTCGCTGATTCGACAGAACCACCACTTTTCTCCTACCTTGGGGTAGCTGAACAGGTTTATTGTTCGCATCCACCAAAACGAAAGACGTCTGTCCATTGATGGTGACTTGGTTTAAGAACAGCATCTGAGGGACACCCATGCTGTTTAGAGCCGAGGTGCCTGTGGGGGTCCCTATGGGCTGAGGTGCCTGTATAATGTTGGCCGGCTGCTGCACGACGTTCTGTACCACTGAGCTGGCATTGGCTATTATCTGAGAGGCGGGGGTGGGCACAGCAGAGTTGGCAAGTGTCGTGTAAATAGACTGGGGTTCTGATGCCTGCAAGGGTCAAGTAATAAGCTCATTGTACATAAAACATTTCAGATAAAAAACTGGAGAATTTAAGTTTTATATATATAGATTGGAGTGGGTGGGTTTACAAACCAACCACACAATCATGACTCCAGAATGGAATTTCAGAAGCTTTGACAACTTAAATACATATATTTTAGGGGGGGGGAGGGGTGTCGAAATCAAATCTGCTACAAAAACCATGACTCCAGAATGGAATTTCAGAGAGTGGAGATCTATGCTACAGAAAAACTATGACGTTTTACCATATTACTGCTATTAAAAAGTTAGCTTGTATCTTTTAGTGTAGTTATGTATACAAGGCAAGAATTTAAACATGGATCTTTTGTTGTGCAGTAGTTATGTATACAAGGCAGGAATTTAAACATGGATCTTTTAACCTAAACATAGATATGTTGGTGTAGTTTTGAATGCAAGACAATAATTTAAACATGGATCTTTTGGTGTAGTTATGAATACAAGACACGAATTTAAACAAACATAAAGCTTAATATACTGACAGTTGAGTCTGTGATCAGCAATGTCTACCTGGGCTATGCGTTTTGTGTACCTGAACGACCTCTGCCCCTTGCGATATGTGTGACACATGTACCCCATCCTGTGTTATATACTGGATGCCCTGTGTCTGACCATCATCACCACCAGAGGGCGCTACTGTTACTGTGAGAGGCTGGTTTGTGTCTGTATCAAATACAGTAAATGTGTTCTGGTCGCCATCAGACATCCTGTCTTCACTCTGAAACAATCATTACAGCTGGAACATCATTACTGTTTCAACTGGAAACATCATAAACCAAATATTGATCATTTGTGACAGTGGACAGGCAATCATAAGCATCATTAACATGTAATTATGGGATAGGAACATTTGAATTGCCAAACATTTTTTTTTTTCAAAACCATCATCAGGGGACAAAAATCTTCATTCTTACCTTCCAAACATCTGGTGCTGGACTTACCACCAATATGTATTTTCTGTCTATCGGTAAAATAAATATGTCTTCTGTCGACAATATCAGTGTAGAAAACATGCTTGCTCTTACTCAAGAATACAAAGGAGACAGCTTGGTAATCAGTAACAGTGACCTTTGATCCCTGGATTTGTGTACACAGTTTACGACCTACGTATCGGTATTACCAATGATAACCACCCAGTCCAGTTCCACTACATTCCTCCCTCCTTTTTATAAGTCTTCATCCCAAAAGACAATACTATTTACAGCCCATGGCAATTGGAGAAGAGAAATGTACGTCCAGACCAGGATGCAAAACCGGGACCCTCTCAGCTTGATCTAGTCAGACACCAATTGAGCTGCGTTTTCAGCGACGATCAACCCAGTTCAGTTTTGCTACACATGTATGATGCACTCCAACAAGTATCGATCTAGTTGATATTATCAGAATAATGCCATGAATTTCCTTGGGATATATGATTTGTACCTTCAACCAGTGTTGTTGTTTTCTTGTTTAGTTGTTACATGTCCAATGGAGATTACACAATTACATGATGATATCATCGTGGACATTTTTTTCACACCGATACCATTATCAACTTGCTGGGAACATAAGTATGGATATCAATGGATATCATCATTCTGAACGTTTTTTTAGGTATATATGGTGTAAATATATTACAACAATTAAGAAACAAGTTTTTACAACTTATATTAATCACTCTTGTTGGCCCAGATGTTAGTGCGCTGGGGG